CGAAAATGTCGTCATTTAAATGTTGCAAAAATAAAGAATCAACTGTATTGTTTTGTGTCGTATGTAAAAAAGTATTTCATAGAGGCTGTTGGACAAGGTTAAACAAACAATATACCATTGTAAGGGACAGTTTAGCAATATGTTCTCGAAACTGTATGGATGCAGCAGCTGAGGATGAGCCAGACACTTTTGACATATTGAAATCTGTTATTGAAGACTTGAAAACTGAAATAATAGACAAGGATAACTATATAGCACGAGTAAAACGAAGTTCAGTGTCATTAATGGAGGACGCTTCAAGAAGCGAAGAGAGTTTTTTGAAAGAGATTACAGAGAAAGATAAAAAAATTGATGAACTTAAAAATGGAATTGAACAACTAAAAATAAAAATAAAAGCACAAAAAAAACAAACGGACGAAGAGATTAACCTAAAACCACTTATTGAGGAATTAAAAGAAAAAAACAAAAATCTTATTAATCAGCTAAATGACAATGAAAGATTTATTATAAAACTGAAAGGAGACTTATCAGATCTTGTAATTGTCAAGAATCAGATGAAGGACGCATTAGTAATACTTGAGGCAGATAATAGAATTTATGCGGAGAATGAAACAAAGTTGAAGAATGAATTGGGAAAGAAGAAAGAAGATCTACACAAGGACAGCAAGAATGAGAAAATGGAGAAGCAGAAGCAGCTAGAAAATAATGAGGATTTGAGTACAGAAAGAAGTGGAAAAATGAAAAATAGGGGAAGGTTACTTATTTTATGTGACGAATATGGTCGCCATCTGGACAGATCCTTTGGGGTAAAATGCAATAAATTGGTATGTCAAACAATAATTAAGCCAGGCGCATCTTTTGAAATGGTTACAAAAGACATTGTTGAATTAGTAAAAGATTTTACCTCGGATGACTATGTTTTGATAATGGCTGGTTCTAATGATGTTGATAGATTGCAATTTCCATCTTTTAGAGATATAAATAGAAAACTTAAATACTGCACTCACACTAACGTTGTTTTAACTTCAATTCCTTACATGAATTATAGAAAAAATGGCCTTGATGAAAGGGTGCAAATGTTTAATAAAAAGCTTTATGAATATGCAGATCGATTGAACTTTTATAGTGAGGGAAAAACAATGTTTTGTGATCTCAATGATTGGAATCGTTTCAGAAAAAGTAAGGTGGAAATTGCAAATCTTATAAGCAACTACGTGTTTGCTGTAAGTAAAAGGAATGCTAATCTTATTTATGTTAATACAGAAACTTTTGTTAATAATAGCGGAATTAACGAAAGTAGTCAAAATGCGATTACGGGGGCTGAGGAAAAAGATCAATTGTTAGTATCTACTGACAGTTTTTTAGATCAAGTTTTCATAGAAATTCCAGAAACATAAACAAGCGTGATAAGATTTTTATATTGTACCTTAACTCATCTAGTTTAACGGCTCACTTTGATGAGATTTATCAGCTAGCTTTAAGTAGATCACCAGTAGTTATAGCATTGTCTGAAACTTGCTTAACAGAAAAAATTCTGGATGGGGAGGTTCATATTGATGGTTATAGCTTGGAGAGAGTAGATAGTAATAGTAGAAGTACAGGTGGGGCGATTTTATACATAAGAGATGATGTTAAAATTTTAAAATCACAACAGACATTTAAACATAAAAATTATTGGTTGGTTTACACATACATCTTTTACAATAAGAAAAAATATCTTTTGGTATCTCTGTACAGATCTCCAAGTTCATCTAAACGGGATTTTGAGCTCGGGCGCTTCGCACCCTCGTGTCGGAAATTTTTCTTCCCGCACTCGTTAGGAAAATAGCTATTATTTCTTTATAGTTCTATATGGAATCATATCCACTAGAGCAAAACAAAGTAGCATATTAGCCAAAAAATTGAAAATGCTACAATCTCATCATTTCTCGTGTTTGCTCTATAGCTTGTTGATATGTGATACTGTATAGATTGACACCCTGCATTTGTCTCTGGAAAAAAAAACAATTTTAATAGCTACGATTTCTAGAAAAACAATATCGACGTGTGTCTTAGTCTTAGCAATCACAATCGGCTGAATGAGAATTAATAAATGCCCAAGATCTGCCTTCTATTTTGGGCATAGAAATTTATTCAAGGTCAAAAGTTAAAAATAACGTTTTCTTTTTTTGCATTTTCCTCGTAAACAATAAATGTAAGCATAAAAATAGTTCAGACAAAAGTTGTTTATCTTACAATGAGGAATTTGCTGATTTTTTTTTTATTCTCTTATTAAGTTTTTCACATTGTAAAAAGTCACTTGCCACATAAATTTTAAATTTTCAACTAATAGTTTTTCTGTAAAAAAATATAGAAATTCAAAATAACTCCCTTCGCGCCAAAACGCACTCATAAATGAATGACGTCACAAGACGGTATCCGTCAAAACGAGTTTCTGTACTCTCTCTCTCTCTCTTACCCATTGTGTTTTGTCATTGGTTTATGAGATTATGTCGATCATTGTCATTTTCCATTCACTGAACAAAGATAGTATTACGTTCATTTTGGAAATCAATTCTCTTCCAGTGAACTCACACCCTATACATTAAGAGAGAGAAAGATATAGTGTAGTAATGATAGTAACATCGGTGAATGGGTGAAGTCACCGATTAGAATAAAAACGAGGGGTATCTTTGTTTAGTTAATGGAAAATGACAATAACCGACATAGAATGCTGAACCCATCGGTAGAATTCGATGATAGCACAAGCGTCTGACGGCTCACGTATCACGTTATCATAACCACACTTTTGTTTGTTTACCGTTCCATGACGTCATAACCAATTTGAGAGCGTTATCGCGCCCTTTGTTATATTCAATATTTGAATAATTAATTATTTATTAGTGGTTCAGTATAAAGAGGATTTGAATATGGAAATATACTTCTAGAGTATTTTGCTTCACTTTAAATACATTTTGCATCTAAGTAAAATTTTATGCAACTTCCTCATTGTCTACAAAAATTGTTCTACGCCATTCGTCGCGTTTCTGTTAAACTTGGTTTTCTCAGTAGGCATACTCCACGATCTATTGTGATTAAGTTTCATTACACAGGAAACTTCAGTGATCTTCACCATTATTGTCTTGTTCCTCTTCTTGCTGAATATCTTTAACTGTCTAAGTACAATTAGTACAAGTCGACTCCTCAGTGATATCAGAGAATCTTCATCTTTTTATAACTTGATAGAATATTGGAACAATACTGGAAAATGCACACTCTTAAAAAAATTGCACATCCAACACAAGAATAGAGCCTTTCTACCTCTAGAATTATGCAGAATTAACAACAATAGAATAGCTTTAAATATTTCATGAAAGTACCCAAGCATACAAGTTTATTATTGCTTGTTTTTCTTAATTCTAGCGATATGCATTGTCCTTTTTTTTTTCCCGAATAATGCGCTTTTTTCGCCCTTGTACAATTTTCTTTGCTTTACTATCCAAAACTTCCACAAAAGTTTTCGCGCCCAGCCCAGATAGTAAAAAGTAATATTCGGATTTAGACCACAGTGTTGGTTGAAGTAATCCCGCTGACACAAGAAAATGTAATAAAATTTGATCTCCTAAAATTTTATTAAACCCCATTTTTGGGAGGTCAGTGAAGTACATATTGGCTCGTTTCCCATATGCTGACATTTTAAATTTTCTCTTTATATCTTTCAAAAGCGATTTACTATGCATTCAACATAATTAGAAGTAACTTCGGGCACAGCTTATACTTCGGGCATAAGATTCAAAAATGTATCTCTGAATGCGAAATAAATCAAATTTTATCACGCAGTAGGCGTACTTAATTAACTAGGAGTATAATATGTAGGTATATCTGAAAAAGTCGAGTCATGTGTGTGGATGATAATAATACGAAAATTGTACACTTTCTGTCATTAGATTACAAGTGTCAGCCCTGCATCGTTATGCAGAGGGTGAATTATTAGGCACGCGGTGGTCTATATTTCCTGAAATAATGGAGATCGAAAGATTAGACAAAACTTGTAAATAAACATGGGTAGGTACTACATTTTCAAATTATTTTAACACACACAGGGTGACCTAATAGACAATAAGTTGTGCTGAGCCAAAGTTATGTTTTTCAAATGACTCGCCCTGTATATTTTCACATTTTTGAATTTCTACTTTAATTTTAAATTACGAAATTTTAAAAAATTACGTCTTTAGCCAATTTTTTTTAACAAAACCATTCGTGCATAGCGCCAAAGAAAAAATCCCTCACCCTTCAGGTTCGGGATTTTTTCAGGCGCTATGCACTCATGATTTTGTTAAAAAATTGGCTTCAGACAAAATTTTCAAAAATTTCCGGAAATATTTCATGCACTAGTTATATTAGTACTGGTAATCTCCCTAGTGATCGAATTATTACCGGAAATATTTTGAGTAAACGATTTTTTGAAAAGAAATAATTTTCTCAAAAAATTCGTGTACTAGAGTAGAGTTTTAGAGGGAAACGGCGAGTAGAGATTTGTGCGGGATTTGTTAAGCAACAGTTCGGTCAATATTTTATTTATCGAGTGCTAGTACTACTCGTATGATGATAGAGAAAACTTACTGCCTACAAAGTATCCATGTTATTAATTATTATGCTGTACTACCGAAACCACAAGCAAGTACTTTGGGAAGCCTTTAAAGAGTCTAGTTACATAAGGTAAGAGAAACAACTTGGCTCAACACGAAAGCAATGAAGGGATACATTTAGAGTTGCTTCCTGAAACGATCTTTGTTTGAAATAAAATTCGTTAGCTTCGAATTTTGGGAAAGTGGTTTTCAGTTACCGGCTGTTTGTGTTCAACGAGGTATAGGGATTTTGTTGTAATTTGTAACTTGGCTTTAGTATGTTTTACAAGTAATTAGATTTCAGCGATGGAAAATGATAGGAAAGTTGGGTGCAGCTTAGAGCTGTGAAGCTGTGAATTCAGTTTGTACGTTGAACGTAAAAAAAAATATTGATAAGTATAGTAAGAGTAACTTATTCAATGAAAAAGAAAATGTAACAATGATTTAAAAATGTTTAAGCCCACTTCCATGCATAACACGAATCGCACCCATCAATACTTCTCCAATGGTTGCATGGTGGGTATCCATATGGCGGGGGTGCTGGAGGTCCTCCATGATTTGGCGCTCCATATGAAGGCTGGGGCCCGCCATGAGCGACTGGTCCTCCATAACTTGGTGGTCCATAGGATGGTGGTGGTCCATAGGATGATGGTGGTCCATAGGAAGGGAGTGGTCCTGGTGGGGGGTCTTGCGGTTGATTGTGATGAGGACTTCGGCCAGCACCTGCTACAGTGTCGACTAATTCGCCCACTCCTTGGAGAGTACCTCCTAATATTTGTCCAGCTCCTTGGAAAATGCCACCAACACCAGTTGCTACGCCTCCTATAACTGAACCTGAAAATAGGGAATTAATATTCAATTATGTTTGAGAATTTTATATTTGAGATATAAATTCATATATAATAATTTTAATAATATTATTGATAAAATTATTCCTTTTTATCTACTAGCGTTTGGTTATGACGATTTTACATAACCATTTTTCTAGTCGTTAGGCTCTTCAAATCACGTGATTTTTCAATATGGCGACTGTGGAAAATTTGACGTTTGTTTGTTTATCTTGAGTTTATTTGAAATATTTTCAAGCTAATTACAGTTTACTTTGTTATAATATACTTTCCGAGATGCAGAGTGAATATTTAAAGACTTAAATGCAGGAAAATCGAGATGTGGGCGAACGGTTAGTTTGAAAAAATGTCCAGTTGACATTTTGACCCAAAGTTTTCACATCAATGAGCAAATCGAGGAGCAAATGAAGGCCTACAAAAGCTTAGATTCTTACAAGTATTTCGAGTATTACTTCATTTTAGATTCAGGAACAGTGGTACTGAATAATTTTCACGTTTTGATTGGAAAAGTTTAAAACAGTGGGCACTGAAAACAACCTGACATCATCCTTGTTGAAATGCCTTCCAAAAGACACACTTTGTAGCATTTTCAATTAGAAAAAAACAATGACATCAAAACACAGATAGACGGATCATCCCATTCATAAAGTATTATTTGTTGTGTTGACAAGACCACCCATGGGCCAGGGGAGGTGAGTTGCTCGCGGGGTCGGGGTAGGGAGACATCATTGCTCAAAATGGTGTAAAAAACCCTGCCCACACGTGAATATATCTCGAAATTTAATTGGATGAATAAATAAAATAACAAATTGACAAATAAACTGAAAATATTCGATACGAGCCCTTTATTCTGGGAGTACCAATATCGTGTTAGTCGTTTCTTGTTTAACGCTAATGGATAATCCTTGTTTGCAATAAAGATAGCTAGCTACTACAATCAACACCTGCCTGCCATTCAACAAGCCGCTTCTGGGCGGTGTTTTGCTATAATCTGCTGTTGCCAAATTGAGTTCAGAAATAAAATTGAAAATGTTAATTAGAGGAGAAAAATATATTATTTAGGGATTCAAGACAAAATTTGGCATTCTCAGTGGTGGGGATAGCACAAAGACCCAAAAGAGACAGAGAGATGTTGTCATACGAAAATTTTGTTTATTGTTCGGTCTATCTGTGTTTTGATGTCATTGGAAAAAAACCCTTATGAAGTCAATAAAATAATAAAATAAATGGGGTTTAGTTATAAAACAACCACACAATGCACTTTAAAAAGCTTTAAATTCTGTACTGTCATATACGGAATAATGAAATTCCGCCCCGGACGCCATTTTGGAATAAGGAATTTGAGTTATTTCATGAGATTCATAACACAAGTAAACTTTGTTTCACGAGGGTTCATACTTTTTGCCTTCCCTTTTTAACAAAGAGAAATTGACTGGAACAAATTAATGACGTCAAAAAAGTTCGTCGGTTCTTAAATCAAAAGCCATTAATTTTAATTTGTCAAAAAAAAATTGAATGTGTCATATGAATTAATCTACGATAACCCTTTTTTTTTTCAAGTTATGACTTGTTCGATGTCAAAAGTATGAGCCCTCGTGAAACGATCTGTAGTGGTGTTATGCGCTAGGTTATGAATTCATAACACAACTAGTGGTGTTATGGACTAGGTTATGAATCTATAGCATAACTAGTTTTTGTGATTTAACAAATGTCATAGTTAAACCTGTAAAGGTAAAATGAAGGTAGACAACTACTCACAAACGGAAATTGAAAAAAAAAAAACATTTTGTTATTTTTCGCTTTGTAGATAAAACTTTGTACATCACACGTGCGTTTAAACATGACTACAAAACTCGTGTGATTAGAACACCTCGGTCTATTAGAACGACTCGGTCTACGACCTCGTCGTTCTAATCTTTCACATTTCACACTCTCCACTGTAATCATGTTCATAAACGCACTTGTAATGTAAATAACCATTACCACACACCAAACCTAGATAATTCATTAAAATTGCTGATTTCGTTAGGTTTTAAAAACTTCAACCTTCGAACATAGAAATACGTACGTTGAAGTTTATTTAAAACTTTTCCACCGAATTTTCGAATCAAAATTTTTAAAATTATGGAAAATACTTACCTAAAATGCCGGGATTACGTCTTTCTCGGTATTGAGGTCTTTCTGGTCCATTGGCTAGTGGTGGTCGATTGTCCATTTTTTTTTTTTGCAATGAAAGTACCCGAATTAATTTAATCTATTCTTATAGCGATGCTACTTTAATCTTTAATGATGAATAATTGGAAGGCAATAGGTTTCTCTGAATTTGCGATGTGCAAGGCAGATATTTAGATTATCTTATCTGCCCCAAAGATAAGTTTAGTATAAGTACAAGAGTGTACTCGAATTCACTTAGTAAATGCAAACTTTAAAATATAATCGTTCAATGGTTATTCTGAAATATCGGCCACTACATACATTCGGAGATTGCATCTTCTGAGGCCTGCTACTTTTTGCAACCCCAATTCATCCATTATTTATCAGAAGAAAAATGTTTTCAAATGTTTTGTCAGCTGCAATATTTTTCACGTCGGTTGCTATCTTTTGAAGTAGGTACCTACTCAAACCTATTGACAGGGAACGATTTTGTATTGGTAATGGCGGGCGTGAATGATATTAATATTGCATCCAGGGAGATAAGTCAGTTAGCTAACAAATGTTTTCAAACAAACCTAATAATTTGTTCACTTCCAGCCAACATTTATAACTTAAAAGAGAAAAACTTTCATACAGTTAATGATAAAATATTACAAGTATTAAATAATTTAAAACGGTACTCAACTAACATTGACTCTTTAAATCTACAAAGTTGTTTTGAATGTCATGAATTTGTTAAAAACCGTATTAAAATAAAAGAGGTCTGTATAAATTATCCAAAGAAATTGTCAATTCTATAACTAACTTTAATAAAAAACCTAAAATCACAAATCTAGTTAACGTAAACTTAAAAAGATACATAGATAAACCGAATATAGAATTGATAGAAAAAAGTAAAAATATTGATAATGATACTGATGTTTTCACATCAGAGTCAGAAGATTCTTTTTTAGATGTAACCAGCCCAACAATTACAACAGCATGAAAGGTAAAAGTGTTTGTTTTTTAGTTTTAAATATTCAATCTTTAAGGAATAAAAATGACGAGTTGACAATATTTCTGGAATCGGTAAACAACCCTGATATATTGCTAATAACAGAACATTGGTTGAGGGCGGATGAGCCGTTTTATGTGCCATGTTATAAGGTATTTGATCTTTTTACAAGACAAGAGTCCGGTTATGGAGGAACAATGATATTAATTAAAGAAACATTTTTAGAAAATTTTAAAGTCATAAATGTCACAAAATTCAATTTTCTTGCACTGGAGGGAATGTTTGAATTTTCTCTTCTTTATAATAAACAAAACAATTTATACAAGGTGGCCAATTGAAAACGAAACAGAGGTGATTTTGGGCTCCCCAAGACATTTAAGAAAAAACCCTCGTACCCGTCGATTTTTGATTGAAGGGGGAACCATTTTTTTGGTGTTTTCACCCCCTGGGGGGCAAAGCCCTAGCGGGGGTGACAAGGGCCCCCAAAATTTTAAATGGAATGAGGGGTCGAGTGATACCTTATTTTGAAGCTATTTTTATGTAGATTATAACCCCCGAGTCTTACATCGCTACTATCTACCTAGCCATTACAGGGGCTAATTAAAGTTACAAAAACATGTTAGAATATTTTTATTTAAAAAAATGCTTTAAAAACAAAATCAATCAAGTAAATTCTGAAAATGAAATCCGAAGAAAAAATCTAACGGGCTTAAATCTAGAGAACGCGGGGGCCTCTCCTTCGAATCCATTGTCCTGGAAACCTTTGGTCCAAATATTGACGAATCACTGCAGCATAGTGGGGTGGCGCACCATTTTGTTGGAATATTAGACGGTTTTCCATGTATTCGTTATCATTCTCTAGTTTCTCCACCAATTCTAGATGAATCGCATCTTCTTATCACTCTAGGTACATTGCTCCTGTTGAATTTATAGGTGAAGAAGGGGTCTATTATACGGTTACCAAAAATGCTAGCCTAAACACTCAATTTCTCGGGATGTTGCGTGTATACCTCACGAAATATGTTTTCTGGGATTTGAATTAGCCCAATAGCGGCAGTTGAGACGATTCACCGTACCGTTCAAGAAAAAAGGAGCATTCATCAGAGAAATATACAAACTGCTGCTCCATTTCTTGAAAAAAAAAATAATTGGGTTATGAGTCTTTCAATGGTGAGGGAGGAGGAAATAAAACGAAAAAGGGGGTTAGTAGCACATCAACTAAAATACCATTTAATTATACTCCATTATTTAATACATTTTTTTTATATTAAATACAATATTTATTTAATACAATATTTCCAGGTATACATACAATATTTCCAGGTATAATACGTACGAAATAACGTCCTAGGGCATTATGGAGATGTATAGATTATTTGAGTATTTGGGCTAGCATTTTTGATAACCGTATAATAGGCCCCTTTTTTACCTATAAATTTAACAGGAGAAATGTACCTAGAGTGGTTAGAAGTTGCGATTCATCCAGAATTGGTGGAGATACTAGAGAATGATAACAGATGCATACACTAATATTCCAATAAGATTGTGCGTCATCCCACTATGCTGCAGTGTCTCGTCAATATTGAGTGGCCCCCGCGTTCTCCAGATTTAAGCCCGTTAGATTTTTTCTTCTGAGGTCATTTTCAGCATTTACTTGATTGATTTTGTTTTTAAAGCATTTTTTTAAATAAAAATATTCCAACATGTTTTTGTAACTTTAATTAGCCCCTGTAATGGCTAGGTAGATAGTAGCGATGTGAGACTCGGGGGTTATAATCTACATAAAAATAGCTTCAAAATAAGGTATCACTCGACCCCTCATTCCATTTAAAATTTTGGGGGCCCTTGTCACCCCCGCTAGGGCTTTGCCCCCCAGGGGGTGAAAACACCAAAAAAATGGTTCCCCCTTAAATCAAAAATCGACGGGTACGAGGGTTTTTTCTTAAATGTATTGGGGAGCCCGAAATCACCTCTGTTTCGTTTTCAATTGGCCACCCTGTATATTATCTGTATATACCGCCCTCAAAGGAATCTTTCAAAGAGTTTGTTGAAAGATTAGAGTATATTTTATCTTCATTACCAGTGAATTCCAGGATCGTCTTGGCTGGTGATTTCAACATTGATTTTCAGGACAAAAACTTGACGACTGTTCAAGCTTTATCTAATTTACTGAAATCTTTTCTTTTAATATTAGGATGTTAGTATCTGAACCTACACGTATCACAAATACTACTAGCTCTCTTATTGATTATTTTTGTGTTAATTTTGGTGAAGCAAACAATTTTAATTTAACTGTAATACCCTTTGGATTATCAGACCATGAGGCAATAATAGCAAAGCTTTCTCTAAAGGCCGTTTTACAGCTTGCAAGAAAACTTGAATGCAATTTTTTGCATGCAAAAAAATTTCATTCAAGATTTCTTGCACGTCGTTTTATACCTTGCAATTTGACTTGTTTCTTTCTCTAACCTTAACCATACTTTCTTGTTTTTAATGTTGTGTTGTTGATGTTTGCATTTTTTAAAAATAAAAAAAGTTATTATATGTCGATATTAAAAGAAGAAAGCAATACCAGCAACTTTAAGCATCATAATTGCTAAAAATTCCCCAGCTTGCACGGAAATCTTCAAGAAAAATGGCACCAAACCGATTGCATGCAATGCCATTCAAGTTTCAAGAATCTTGCAGAAACCAATCAGCTGACTCACTTCTGCGCATATCCTCGTTCAAGTTTCTTGCATATTGCAGATAGAATTGCAAGCTGTAAAACGGCCTTAAAAAATAATACTAAAGAAAAAACAAAAACAATTGGTCGAATCTATAGCAAGAAAAATTATAGAAATTTTCAAGCTGATACTCAATTGTTGAACTGGAATGTGGTTTTCCAGCATAATAATCCACTAGAACACTTTAATAATTTGTTGATTTTAACCTTTAATAAGAATTTCCCCTTGCAAAAAATTAAAAAGAAAAAGTTCAAAAAACCCTGGGTAACAAAAGGTTTAAAAATATCATCAAAGAATTTAAGATGTCTTTGTAATCTTAAAAAAAAAAATCCATCTGAATTTATAACAAAATATCTTAATAAGTACAAGAGAATGTATAAGCAAGTCATTAAACTAGCAAAAAGTGACTACTATAAAAATAGGCTGAGTCGCTCAGGAAACAAGGCTAAAGAAGGGTGGACTATTGTGAGTGAATTAGAGTCCGCGTCAAGAGTAAAGAGTACGGTGACGTCAAATGCGCACAAACCCAATTTTGAAAACTAACCGAACTATCGTATTGTTCGGTGCTGCTGCCGAACGCCAAGCACGTTGTTCATTGTCGTACGGCCAGCAGGCATATTTATTTAGTTTATTTTCTATCCAAGTTTTGTCTAAAAAGATACCCCACTGCTGGCTTCAGCTCACGACCGAGGTCACGGCAGACAGCGAGAGATAGACGAGGGAGAGAGATCGGACCCGCTTCGCGCAGCTTTCCGTGTCGTCACCGTACTCTTTACTGCTGACGCGGACTCTAACAGGAAAATATAATTTAAACAGTAATCAAATTACCATAGATTCAAATATACTCAATGAATATTATTGTAAAGTAGCTAGAGAAATAATGTCTAATTTAAAACCACAAATTGACCCTCTATCTTTCCTACAAAACATAAATACCATAGAGAGTTTTTTCTTACGACATACTGATCTAAAAGAGCTTAGACTTGTTATTAAAAATATACAAAATAAAACCTCCACTGGAATAGATAATATATCAATTAAAATATTTGAGAATTTATCAGATAATGCATTAAACGTTTTGGTAAATGCTATAAATAATTCATTTGACACTGGTGTGTTCCCGCAATGTTTAAAAATTGGTTTAATTACGCCAATATTTAAGGGTGGAGATTTGGAAGACCCCTCTTCTTATCGACCCATCTCTCTCCTCCCTACTCTCTCTAAAATAATGGAAAAAGTGGTCAAGGATGGAATGATGTCATTCATAAACAAACATAATATTTTAAGGGAGTGCCAATTTGGATTTCAAACAGCAAAAAGCACTAATGACGCGCTATTTAATTTTTTGCAGAAACTTTATTTAAATCTCAATGATGGAATGGTGGCTTCGGCAGTGTTCTGCGACTTGTCAAAAGCATTTGACTGCGTGAGGC